CACGCGAGTGGAGTGGGTTTTCTGGGATGAACCGCAGGGCTCAGGTCCGTTGAGCGAGTACAGAGATTAGATGTGGGAGATCGCTTGGTGTAACTTGTAATATAAGTCGCAACTTCGTCAGATTGAGAAGTCATAGCCGCGATGGTCTGTGCACACTATGCAAATGCTTTCAAAGAGAAAGGCGAAACGGCTAGCTGCAGGCCTACAAGCTCGACCGACCGGGCGATGACGAGGGAAATGATCAGGAATGATCCCTGGGGCAAGTGTTTCGACAGATTCTGCTCCAAACTTCGGTCATCCTCGCCGTAGCTCAGAGCCGAGCAGAGGATCGGGAACATTGAAAACGCTGTCTGATGCTGCCGCTTCCGCAAACTGAAGGAATAGTATGTCTTCGAAATTGATTGACTAGCACAGAACTAAATATTTTATTTTTGAGAAGAAAACTTTCTCACATACCCAAATTAATTTTAACGAAGGTTTTAATTGCCTTTACAAACCATGCATTTTCGCTGACGATCTTTTCGACATCGGAAGTCAAACATTCAGCTTACTTAATGTTCGCCGCATGAGTTACTTTTCTATAAGCCTAAAAAGCTTTTCCAAACTGATCCACATTTTTACCCATTAACATTAAAGGTAGATTTACTGGTAATCCCCATTGTGAATTCCTTTGCATTTATTGTATTTTCTTGTTTTATTTATTTAAAATATTGTGAATAATCGATGCAACAAACTTACCCTGTTCTACAGAGTGGAGCATCGCTTGTCCAAATTCAATACAGCCGCCTTCGTCGAAGGTCAGCTTGAAAGTGGCCGTACCTTCCCAGTTGCCGTTCGGCTGGGCCAAAACAACTCCTTTCAGAAAGTTAGCGCCGAACACCGGCTGCTCGACTTTCACGTCTCGCAGACAGTGAAACGGCATCGAGAACGACTTGAAGGAATCACTTTGGTTCTTGTTGGTGAATATAATCTAAAATTAAGAGATCAGCAGTTCTACAATCCGAGGAATAAATAAGCTATGACATTTCGATTTGATGATGCATATTCGTGCGAAAAGCTTCCCAGATTTTACAACCGCATCTGATTGTTTACATCGTTCAACAATGTGGAAAATTGTAAAATGCTAGAGGATACTTGAGCAAATCATTTTTATTGTGGAAGAGATGTATGCAGTAACCACGTCTCTGTCTAAGTCAAAAAAGAGCTATCTGCGAGGTGGTTCGTTATTATTTGTTCAATTTGCCAAGCTCTACTTTCGCCTTTACTATTCAATATTAATCTCGATTTTCTTCTCTGAAGAAGTGGTAACGTTGGCAAAGACGAAGGCCTAGATGTAATACACAGCTCAACATATCCGTCTAAAAATTTTGCTGACTTCAAATACGTGGATGATATTGTTCAGGTGAACAGTACAGTAAGCGGGCTCTATCGTTTTATGACTTCTCTATTAGAGGTAGCTGTGAAAGTCAGCCAGTTTTTAAACGCCAGGGAGTCAAAAGTAATGATGAATCCATCCGACAAAGTTGATCCCAAGTAAAACAGGAAGGTTAAGCCCATCAGGAGGCCCTTAAACACCAGTTTAATCAAACAGGCTCTGTCATCTAGATCGATAGCAAAATTCAGCCACAGTTGAACACGAGTATAGTCCTAACCTCGAATGCTTTTAGAAACCTGTCGAATACCTGAGCGGAGAACGGAGCTTTTCCTTGCAAAACAATTTGCTTGAACCGTGCCCCTGTCAGGTAAGTATTGTTGGAGGGTACGAAAACACTTTTCAAACGAAGAAACCAGGAGGATTAATGGCAAAATCATCTAATAAAAGACTACTTTGTTTCAGGCACAACTGACCTTATTGGGATATGGAGGTTAAGAAAGGAGGTTTACCCTACTGGACAACTGTTAGACCAGGAAGCCAGCGTACCACACTGAGGAACAAGGTAGAGGCAGATCTGCTTTCAAAGATAAATAGTTTCTTCTACGATATAGAAAGCGAAGCCGTATAGCAAAGGTGCTGAATAGCTACGATTACAGAGACGTTCTGCTTATGCAAATGACTCAACGTGATGATCTCAACAAACAAACAGATGTTATACAAACTAGCAGCTACCTCCCTTCTTGCTCTGCTATTTATCTTCATAGCATAAAGCGTCAAAAAACGCAGACAGATATCGAATGAAGACAATACGCAAATATGGTCAATGCTGCTACAGTCTTCAGCAATCATCAAAAGTAATAAAGAAAAGTATAACCCATTTAAGAACATTCATACCCGATGAGACGTCAAATACAACGGCCCCTTTCGCTTGCCAGTCACAGCTGAGTTCGAAGATTGCAGCTCAAAATTAACCGTCTTGGTATAAATCAAAATTCTGAAAGATACGTCAAGTTAGCCACAGATAAATGATTAGGCAAATACTTACACTTCTCCGTTGAAAAGGACTACACCTCGACCGTCCGGAGTCTGATCTGTATTAAGGGCCATAGCAGTGATTCTTGCACACGGTTTGCTTTAGCGCGCTGTTGGTCAAGCTACGAAGAAAACGTGTTCAATTCCCGTATATAACAGTGGATGCTTTGAAGAGTTGAGAAATGCGATCAAGAAGGGGTCAAAACGATTTCGCGCGAAATTAAAAAAACAGCTTGTACTTGTGTAACGTACAACCGAACTATGCAC